CATTCAAAACTTGCGAATTTTAAAAAAAAAAAAAAAAAAAAAAAATTTGCTGATTAAATACGAACAACTGTTTAACTGAAGTAAAACGGGTTTTCCCCTTGCTATGGATGTCTGCCTAGTTCAGTTCAGCCACATTCCGCTACAGTTCGACTTTATTATCAGTTCGAAATGGGATAGTTCCATAATACCCGCAGTGTTCCATAATACCACCTTCTCCTCTACTAGGACATCACGCGACTCTGTCGTATCACGATAGAATTGAGGCGGAGTCGGAAAGAAAGAAGTTATCCCTGCATTTATTAGGCACAGAAGAGACGATCCCTGTACCTAACGGACGTGGACAGGTAAACTTTGCACTTGCTGGCACAAAAGACGTGATTCTTGTATCTGCCGGCCACGGGAGTCACGACCCTTGCGCTGGCCAGGTACGGAGAGACGATCCTTGCAGTTGCTAACACGGAGAAACGATCCAAGAACAAAGCAAACATCATCGATTGCTTTGTTCTTGTGTTTTGTTTGTTTTTTGCGCCTATTTTCCATTAAGCACACAAAATATTTTCTTTATTTTTGACCCCTAGGCCCAAATTCCGTTAGACACTCTCAATCGCATCAGAGAGCACGGACATTATCAGTTTAACCTTTCTATATATCGAAAACATCCTATCCCTATTTTTTACATTTAAATGTATCCTAATTTTATTTTTGGATTCCTCACCTCAATTAATGGAAAATAGCAAAGATTTATCAAAATCAACCTGTTAAATTTTGAGAACGAACTCGAGTCTGTAGCTAAGCCCATACAAGACGTGCTAGCGACTGTGAAACATCGCGCGACTTTGTCTTATCACGATAGCTGCTTAATTAATGGAAAATAGCAAAGATTTATCAAAATCGACATACTGTAACAGATTTTGAGAACGAGCACAATTCTGCAAACCACATAGAAGAGGCTTAGCTAAAGCTCTGCCTCGACAAGATTTAAAATACAAAAGAATGTTTTCTATTGTCGAGTCCATTCCGTGAAACATTCTAAGAGGCCCGGCCGCCTCTGTTCGTAATGAAAAGTTAATAAAAATGCTAAGTACAGTATAAGAAAAATAATTTAACACTGGAATTAACTACTGCCTAAGTAATTTATGTAGGCTATGTTTATTATAATCCATTATATAAGTATTAGAAGCGAAAATTTATTAACATGTCTAATGATTCATATTCAATTTTAACTTGGACCTCTTTTACGTCGGATCTGGTTATCTGCTGTTAAGACAGATTAAGCAGTTCCGAGAAAACAGTTTAATCCAACAAATTAGACAGTTTAGAGAAACCGTTTCGTTAAAACAATTTGTCATTAGGAATAGTTTCATCAATTTCAGTTTCATAAGCTGAACTTGTCCCCAACTCCATTTTATCGCAACATTAACCTTAATTTCACCTACGTAAGTTTTTTAATATTTTAAATACTTTTAAGATTTTAAATTGAAATAATAAATAATGATGATATTTCACATGGTTATTTCTGCCTAAATATATATATTTTTTAATCTGAACAAACAATGACCAGCAGAGGGCTCTGACTTCCGCCATGTTTGTTGTCATTTAAAGAGAAAAGCAATAAGAGTTACATAATTATAATTATTATGGGTTTATTTGGCAAAAGCCAGGAACGAACTCCTAAAGAGCAGGTCTGTTTGTATAATATAAAGATTTAAATATCCTAAAATTATAATAAAGTTTAGATATATATTTTAAGTTTACGATCGATGTGGTTTCGTTATAATAATCAGATTTCTTAATTGAAATTTTGTATTTTTGACATATTAAATTTATTTTTAATATTTTAGTTTTTCTCGTGTTTGAATCTTAAATACATTAGCGACAAAAATTATATTGGAAAAATTCTCAGTATCTTCATTTATACATAACAATTTTAGTAAAATTATGGTAAAAATTATAGTAAAATTAAGTTCATGTAATTTAATAAATTATTTTATGGTGGAAGTGCATCTAGGTAGCTCCAATGAAAGTATTTCTAAGACTATGACGTTTAATTATTTAGCCCACACAACTATGCTGGCTTCGAGTAGTCCAGTTGACTGTTCGTGGAGTACTTGATGTTATATAGTTTTAGGGGGTGCGTGTGAGGGCTCACCCATATCTGTGTGCTGAGGTAGGTGTGAGCAATAGTGAGCACCAAGGTGCATGTCTACATGCAAAGCATGTAGAATAGACAGTAGACCGATACATGTTAAAAACTGACGGTAAAGATTAACCAAACTGACCTTTGCACCATAGGGGATACCAAAGTGCAATTTTACCTATTTTACAAAATATTTTCAAAAATTTATTATATCGAATAAATTTTTGTAAATTGTTGAAATTTGAATGTTTTGCATAACATTTTCAGACAAAATACAAATTTAAAATTATTTTTAAATATTAAAAATGTCTTTAGGAAATCCAAAATGAGGAAAAAGTAATTAATGAAAAAAATAATAATTAATTTTTATTATTGATGATGATGATGATGATGATATTTGTAATTTTGTACCTACAGTGTCAATAATTGTATTTAAATGTTCTTCGGCATCTTCAGAGATTCAAACTCTGAGTAGTTTCACACCCCCCAAGAATTGTAGACCCCTAAATGAGCAAAAAGTCAAAGAAACCATACCTGTACACGTGTGACCCTTAGTGAGATATTTGTCTCCAAAGGCCAGTTTTTAATGTATATCAGTATACTGCTTATTCTCTATGCTTTACATCAGTGTTTTTCAACCTTCTTGAATACGCGACCCCTTTACAAGTTAAAAAATTCTGGCGACCCCCCTAGGGCCATATTAAAACTATATCAGTGATTTTAAAAACTATGTATTTAATTTTCTCTCTGTTGAGACAAATTATTGTTGATTAAAGTGAAAATTTCAGAAGAATCGACAATAACTTAACACACATAAAGTATGAAACTTCCTTTAATTATAACATTCGGCACAGGAAGATGTTGACGTTTTTTTTTTTTTTAGGATCAGAATTTTCAGCTTCTACGTTTCTACTTTTTATTTCTTTTTGCAGATCAGCTCAACACTTTTTTCGCTATCATTTTCTGGGGTGGGCCGTAATTCTTGCTGAAATTGTAGTTTTTTTTTAATGTAGTGTAGGACCTACAAACACTTGTCTTTTTCTTTTACCCACGACCCCCTGTGTAAGGCTTTGCGACCCCTTTGGGGGTCATGACCCACAGGTTGAAAAACACTGCTTTACATCATCAAGGCTTTCTATCACTTGCCTTGACTGACGCTCTGCATGTAGTCGTGCATTTTGATACAAGCATTCGCTTGCACCTCAGTGCCTGGGTGGGGGTGAGCCCCAAACCCCCTGTAGTGATATCGGACCTCCTCGCCCTTCCTCTCCTGCGGTTTCATTGGAACAGATGCGATCCACACACACACGGTGACAGAAGGACCATAAAACCCAGGGAAGAAAACGCGGGAAGAGGGAGAGGAGTTTGGGACACAAGAGAGAGAGAGTGTGAAGTAGTATTTCACTCTCAGATTCCCTGAGAGTGAAATAAAGTATTTTTTTTTTATGGAAATATTGGACTATTTTAGTTGGTGTGACGAACCAACAAAGCGGAATCTGCTGATTAAGATCAGGTTCCCTACACCTCCTAAACTATATAACATCAAGTACTTCATGAACAGTCAAGTGGTCTACTTGAAGACGGCATAGTTGTGTGGGCTAAATAGTTAAATGCAATAGTCTTAGCAGAGCACTGTGACTTGTGATCTCATGCGACTTGATTTTGGAGGGCTAATTTCTCATGAAGGGTCACTTGTATAAGTATAGTTCCTTTGATTTTTTTTGCTCCTATGATGTCCAACTGTCTCATTCAGACCTTTAACTGTACCCAAAACATACAAACATTGTTATATAAATTTCTGTTTAAATAAAGCTCTAATACAAGGTGCATTCCATAAGTAATGCGACTAAATTTTTCATGACATGGCGATATGCCATAGCTAGTTCTAACCTGCTGTGCTAGGGGGTGTGGGCCACCTAGCACAGCAGGTTAACAGGTAAAACACTGCCTTCACAAGTGTATCGATGCAGGAGGGTGCTATTTTGAAGATTTTTGACTAATTGTAAAAACATGTTCAATAAATGATTTTTTATGAATTTGGTCGCATTACTTATGGAACGCACCTTGTATATTTGAAATTAGATAAAAATTAATATACCATTGCCTTCACCAAGTGCCCTCATTGTTTTTACCAACCTGAGTTATTTTTGATGGGAAGGAAGAAATATCATCTTGGAATCAACAAGAGAATTGTATTGGACGATGTATTTTCCATACTCATTTACTTAGGATTTTCTAAGTTCTGTGCTGGTAGCACAGTTGTGCCATCAGCACAGAAGCAGCTTAATAAATCCTCTTTGCATACCATCAACATATCAATCACTTTCAACTTTCCTCAAATATTCCACTGATGCTCTTCATATTTAACTGCTTTCAGTAATATTCTCATTATTATAATTCTCTTTTAGATAGACAGAATGAGCAATCAGAATGGTAGGTTTTGAATTCCTGTTTTGCAAAAGAACTGTTTTCAAACTTCTTTGGGAAGAATTGATGAAGAGTCATCTATATCAGATTGATGACTTATATAAGCTGCTTCATCAGTTCTTCCCTGGATTGTGTTTCTTGATCTAGTTGATTGAAGAGGCCATTGATCTCTTTGTAGAAAACCATTGGATAATAACTTTAAGAACATAGTAAAACTTTTTCAAATCATAATTCTGTGTTCAATAGTGGGCCACTCAGACAAGAAATTTTGCTTTGTCTTTGGACAGTGAAATAAGATAGTTTAACTTCTTTTGGTTCTGAACTTCCCCTCAGGGATGTACTCAATGTCCCTACACTTTTTGCCAATGGGAATATCTTCACAGTCTGTTTCCTGTACATATGCCAGTCTTTCCTCTGGAGGCTCTGAGACAGGTAAAGATTTATCATGTGAGACTGGTCTCCCTGCTAAATGAAATCTGGATACACTACTTTCTACTAATTCTTTAATGAGAAATCTGCAACATTCGCAGAACAAAAATTAACAGTCATCAATATGATTCTTTGGCTTATGCCAAACTATTGGTAGTGTCAAGGGCATTGCACCTTTTCTTCAGTTAATCCAGTCACATAATTTATTTGAACATCATGTACACATAATGTAATGATGTAAATAATATGAAATGCTCTGCTCTTGTCTTGCAGTATAAGTTGTACAACTTATACTGTACATAGTCACATCTGCTGTAATTGTACAGTACATCTACAGTTACAGCAGATCTATACACCTGCAGTTACCTGCAGAACAAATCAATATGAATAATCAGACTTCTACAGTAATTGGAATATTTTATATGCTGTATGTATCATAACTTCATTATTTCTGTTATATTATTTATTATAACATAAATATTTGAATATTTCACAAAAAATTGGGATTTATTATTATTCAATATTAGTAATACTAATTCATACAGAGATGTCTGCAGAAAATTTTCCAGAGGAGGCAAAGCTTAGAGACAAATAATTAATAATTAAATAAAATTTATTGACAAACTTTTTGGACTTTTTCACAAGTAGATTATAAAATACAGTCATGGTCAAGAGTGTAAGGATACTTATCTCAATCACTTATAAGATTAAACACTACACCCTTGATGTTCATCAACTTCAGTGTTTGGTAATTCAATCATTCATGATTGGAAATTTATACACCAAAATTTCAACTTTTGTGACAGGTTTTAATTTTTCAAGAAATGGGAGATTATTTACTACTGTAAACTGTAGTTGGTGCCTGTGCAAACTGGATGTTCAAGCAGCTGCAATGCTAAAAGATCACTGTACTCACTCATTCGTATAGGGTCTGTCATAAGTTATGTTACTGTTTTGTTTATTTATTGTTTCTTTTGGATTAAATAAAATGACTTTTGCAGCATTATAAACCATTGCACAGTATTAAGAACTAAGGCCGTGACTCCACATCAAGGGGAAAAAATCACTGACCCGACTATATATGTACAGGAATCAGAATTACTGATTTTTGGGGGGTGATTTCTCTACCCCCAAAAATATTGATTATTCAGTGGCTACTTTCAAGTTAGTGACATTTATGTTGTGTAGTTTTACAGCACCGCATTAGAAAAAGGATTATATTGTTTGTCAACATATGGAATTGATGCTATTATCAAGTGTTGCCTGTGAAGAATAATAACTTAATTGATCCTAGTGTTAAGTTATAGAGATAAAAATTAGATTTTGTGCATTTTATTTTTCTTAACGACATGATACATTTTATGGAATGTCAAGTTATTGAAAATCAAGTTTCCAGAACTCTACTCTATTCATTATAAAATATCAGTGAATTTAAAAATTATTTTCTACAATTTAAAATTTTTGCAACAATAATATATGTGCAATAAATATTACAAGGACTGTTTCATAATAATATGACATTTTGGATGGTATTTATCATAAAAACAATTAAAACACAATGGTTCATTGCACCATGCACATATAATTATTACTTGATTTGCACATAGATTATTTTTCCCCCCTCTGTTGTTAAAACAAAATGTAATCTTCATTAACATTTTGAAATATTTTTTTCATGTTATTTGAGATGCAAACCATATATATTTTAACATGTCATAAAAAAAACTGATGTGCTCAATTGGTTGTGAATTAGCTATTGTATTTTAATAGCATCTTTGCAATTAGCTGTTTCTCTATTGGTTTTAAGGAGATAACTACAATTTTGTAATTCTTTGATAAAGTTTTTAACCTGTCAATTAAAATAAACATTGCAAGGCTGACAAAGAGAAATTCATTCTGGCTGGTTAATTTTTAATTGGCAAGATAGAATATCTTCATTGCCTGCAAAAATTTTGTTGTATATTTGAAAATTTGTTTGATGTCCCTTGAATCCATTATTAATAAAAACTTCATTTTTTTTATGTATGGCTATATTATTTCAAATAACAAGTCTTTATAAAACCTTCATTACATTATAACCACATTTTATATTATTTAATGTTATATGTACAGTAGAACCTCGATTATCTGGACCTCTATTATTTGGATTTTCGATTATCCGGATTGTTCAAAATAAACAAAAATTTTACGAATTTGCTGATTTGCACTTGGTGAATTACGACACTGTTTATGTACGTGATGGAATGCATAACATTTTTTTGTTTCAACAACGTCTCACCTGGCACAGTGGTCGTAAACTCTTAAATATATTTTACGTAGTAATAAAAATATAACTTGACATACATATTTATAAATAATTTATACTCAAATTACATCATTTCTATGACCAAGGGCGGCGTAAGGCATGGGCAACGTGGGCCACCGCCTATGTTTTGGTTTAATTGAATCTTACCCAAATATCAATGTCGGTCCTTTGCGTAGGAATTCGAAAGACTTGGTGATTGACTCCTGTGGTAGAAAGTTGCTTCATTTATGTGATGATTTAGATATGATTATTGTTAATGGGAGATGTTTAGGTGATGAAGCGGGTGAATATTCTTTTATCTCTAATCGTGGTTGTTCTGTTATTGATTTGGTCATTGTTTCTCCGTTAATCTGGAAAGATATTCTCTCTCTTACGGTGGATCAGTGTTTGGATTCCGATCATAACCCTTTGATATTACGACTGGTATGTGGCAATGAGAGATCGGTCTCTGTAGAAAAGAGGCAGAAGATTAATAGATTGTTTTGGGATGAATCTAGAAAGGATGAATTAAGGTTGGCTATGGAGGAAATATGTACCACGAATAAGTTTGATTTAATGGAAGACCTGAGTGATTGTCTTTTTAGTTTGGCTTGTAAGTGGGGATTTAATATCAGGAGAAATAAGAATTATTTTTCATGGTTCGATTCGGACTGTAGAATGCTAATTAGTGCAAGGAATAGAGCCTGGAGATCTTTTAGAAAGAGTAATGATTCTAATGATCGATTTCGTTTTGTTATGTTACGAAGTTTGGCGAAGCGGTTTTGCATTGCGAAAAAAAAATTATTTGCTGGTAAAATTCAGAATTGTTTTAGGAGAGATAACAGACTTTTTTGGAATTATTTCCGACATGTTAAGCAGGCTAAGTCTTGTAATTTC